ACTTTTTTTTATGGATGGGCGCTTTTTATTTAACTTCTTTTGGACTGATGCATGCAACACCCGCTGAGTACCATGAAACAGCTTGAAAGATCAAAGACAATTTTTTTATATAACTCTGACTGGATTCGTCTGAAAGAAGAAAGTCATATACACCTAGGATGACATGAGGGTGAGTAATTTATGGGCTAATTTTCATTTTTGGGTGAACTAACCCTTTAAGCTCTCTCTCTTATAGTAAAGGCGTATGAATGAATGTGTGTATCTTTAACTCCGAAAAATCTTGTTTGTTTGTGAGGGACAAAACGAAAGGAAACAAGAGTGAATTCAGGGAGCCATTAATGTCCAGTGTGAGATGAGTCTGATTAATGACATTATCTGCTGTTGGTCTGATAGGGCAGAAAGAAGCGTTCAGGATTCATTAGTGACACCGGAAGCCCTGGGGAGGAAAACGCTGTGGACTCGATCAGACCGCAGAGAGACACAATGAGTCAGAAACCAAGAAAGTACCACCGAGCGAGTGTTTGCTGACGTACTGAAAACAGAATTAAGAGGCCATTGGGTGAAATTGAACTGAAGTCTTTATTTCTAAACTATAGCATTTATTGTGTTTGGATGATGGTTCTTGTGTCCCAGGGCATCTGTTCTTTACACAAATGTTTTCAGAAGACTTTAATATGTTATATTTGTATTATGGACTACTTTAATGATACTTCTTGCTTTCCATGAAAGGTGAATATTCTAAACAGTATTTCGTTATTTTACATTTAAATTTACATTTTTTAAAAAATTATTTATTGATTTATTTTTTGTGCTTTCCAAAAGCTTTCCCCAAAGCTCAAACAGTAGAACATAACAACGCTAAGATCATGCTTTTAATTCACAACAAAATTTACATGCATGAACGGATAAAAATTTGCTCCGTCAACATAACATCCATTCTGCAAATAAATGCATCTGCCAAATGCATAAATGTAAAAAGTTTTATATAAATATAAATATAAACTTTACAGGTATGTTCATGCCCTTAATGAGAAATATTACACAGTTTCAAGAAAAACATCCTAGGTTCATTTATGGAAGCCCATTTCTGCCACAAACATGCATACATTACATCAATGAAGTAAGTAAGTACTTGTGACTTTTTCTCTCACAATTTTGACTTTTTTTTTTCTTGCAATTCTGAGTTTGTAACTAACAATCCGGACTCTGTTGAACTCACAATTGTGTCTTTATAAATTGCAATTGTGAATAATAAACTGGTAATTCTGAGAAGAAAAATTTATATTAATATCTAAATTATAATTATTGTTAAATTATTATATTATTAATATTAGATATATTAAAGTATTATTATTATTATTATTGTTAAATTAATTGTTAGGTATAACCTCGCAATTGCGAGAAAAAAGTCAGAATTGTGAGATAAAAAGTCGTAATTAACTTTTTTTTATTCTATGGCAGAAACAAAGTAAGAATTGTGAGATGTAGCTAAACTCGCAATTGCAAGAAAGAAAGTCAGAATACTGAATTTACGTCTCGCAATTCTGACTTTTTGTTCCAGAATTTTTCAGAAAGCGAGAAACAAAGTACGAATTGTGAGATGTAAACTCAGTATTGCGAGAAAAGCAATTACTTTTTTCTTTTTTTTATCTCATGGAGAAAACAAACTTTCATATTAATCAGTATTTCTGACATTTCAAAGAAGTGTAGTGGGTCAAACTGGCCCAGAACAGCTCGATTTTCATCCGTCTATGATGTCATATCCTTTGGCGCTGGCGTGGGCTCTCGCTGCATGAGTCTGTAGATGTTCTCCTGAGTAACTCCAGTGAAATTCAACTAATGCCGGTGCTTTCCTCTCAGCTCTCATCTTTTCAAATGGTTTTATTGGCCAGAATTCCGGTCAGCAGAAGTGCCGGAACGAATGCGAATGCATCGGAATTACTGCAGCACAGATCCCGCAATAGCACTACAGTAATGATTACCCAGAGAGCAACTTGCTTTAGATGAGAGTGAAGAGGAAAACCACACGAGGCGTTTACAGAGGACCAGCAGTGAGTGTTTATGTGTGTGTAGAGTCCAGCTGAGTCAAGGCTTTAAAACACACTCACTTCCTGTTTGAATGGCCGTTCTGAGGAAGAGGAGAGATGATGAGCTTTGGGTGGTGTTGGATGGGGGTTCAGAGCGGGTTTGCATATTAATGCTCCTCTGCATGCCATGTGCTACAGCGGGCATTAATGATGCATGGGAACACACGTCATCACAGTGCAGAGAGATGGAAAACTTTAAAAAATCCCCTCATTCCTGTATGAAGAGACTTCTGCTCATCTATAATGCACACTATGTATGTATCAAACACTTGCACACTCTCACAGTGGGAAGATCCTTGTCAAAAGGAATGTCAGACGACCACTAAAATCTAGTTTCATTGTGTTTGTTTCAGCTCGTTTATTGTCTCATTATTTATCTTATACTAACTCTTACTCTTCTGTCTCTTTTTTACAGTGAAGAAGGCCAAATATGATGGACCCCAGGGTAAGTAAACAGACATCACACATGATTTTACACACACACACACACACACACACACATATATATAATGTATGTGTGTGTGTGTAAAAATCACAATCATAAAAATATACATATATATATATATATACGTTTATTTAGAAGTTGTTCAGTACAATACTTTTTGGTGTTACTGTATAACTAACAATGAAAAACATATTTTTAACATTATTTAGTAATCTACTTTAATGTTAATTTATATAAATTAAATTAAATAAATGTATAGAATAATTAATACATTTTTATTTTTGGTGTTACTGTATAACTAACAATGTAAAGCATTTACTTTCTTTTTTTTTTTTTTTTTTACATCATCATTTAGTAATCTAATTTAATGTTAATGTATACAAATAAATTAAAATAAAAAATTAAATAATATACTTATACACATTAATTTATAAATTTATTTAGAAGTTGTTCAGTACAGTTCTTTTTGGGATTACTGTATGTGAATGCTATGATTTCTATCTCTATTTTCCTCCTGCAGAGAAATTCAACACATATGTGACTCTGAAGGTTCAGAATGTGAAGAGTACGACCATCGCCGTACGGGGAAGCCAACCCAGCTGGGAGCAAGACTTCATGTTGTGAGTCCTTCATATTTTCTTCTTCTGTCCTTATCCTTGTTCCTTTCTGATTTATTTTCTTTGCTTTATGTTTAAGTTCATCTCGCGTCTACTTGTGAGCCACGTCACATCTTTGTCAACGCAAAAGCGCATTTTGTGTGAATTAGAAGTCGATCGATTGATCGTTTTGCCGATTAATCGGCACCGATAGTTAATTAAATTCAATTAAATTAAATTCAATAGTTACGCACTCTTTTATTTTTCGTTGCGTATCCATTTTAAAAAATATCGGTTGATTGGTCGGTATCGGTAAAATCCACTATCGGTCGACCTCTAGTGTGAATAGCACCTAGCGATATGTTCTACTTGCGGTCCTTCATAGAGTTCGTCACTCGTGAGTGGTTCATCACGTATGCCGTCATGCGGTCAGATCATTTTTTTCTCTTAAAGGTGGGGTAAGCGATTTTTCAAAAACGCTTTAGAAAACTGATTCGAGCAAAACAAACTTGTAGCCAATCAGCAGTAAGGGGCGTGTCTACTCATGATGTGGAGGGGAGAGGGGTCAGTGCACACTGCACAGGTCTACTCATGATGTGGAGGAGAGAGCGTTCAGTGCACAGGACGGACATTAGCCGAGCCGAGCGACAGAAAGACAGAGATGGCGGATAAAAAACAAAAGAGGAAAACGTCTGCGGAAGAAAAGAAGGCTTAAGGCAAGAAGTAGGACCCGTGTAAATATCGAATCAGCTTTCCAGCGCTGGAGAGAACTCAAGGAGTGGAAGGCCTGCGATCGGACGCCGAGGTTGCTTTGTTTCTTCACGATAGGTGAGTAACACAGTGTCTGCGCCGCAACAGCGAAAGTCCGTCTAGTACACTGGACGCGACAAAGGTACCGCTGAAAATCATTTGAAATTTGTGTCAATACGTTATAAATAGAACGCAGCAGCAGTTTTCTGTCGGGGATTTGTCGTGTTGTGCCGCATCCAGTGTAGACCATAGATATGTATATATATCTATGGTGTAGACAGCATCACTGATTATAATGAGTTCTATAGCATTTTGTCACGCCACGCCACTGTAACATTGGTTTTGCTTTGTTTCACAGAACTAATCGTTGCCTGGGTTGCGTACATATGTGTGGGGCGAAGCTATCAAAATAGGGGCGAGACCCTTTTGGGGTAGGGGCGTGTTTTGTTTTGGTGCTTTCAAATGTCAACATTGGCTACCAGAAATCGCTTACCGGTGCCAAAACGGTGTCTGAACCGATACTTTAAAAAAAGCCACAAAATGATGTTGGATGACTCAAGTATACCTTTTTATTGGACAAAAAAGTTCTTTAAAATGAACAATATATTAAAAGTTTAAAGTATACATGAATATAAAAGTAAATACAAAACACAACAACAATAAAACCTAAGCCACCTAACCCAACTACAATAATTTAACAGCTTCAAATTTCAGCAATTCTTTTGCAGAAATATGATCATATTTGCCTTCTCTGGCAAAATATGACACCTCCCCTGACTTATTGCATGTCGTGCACAGGAGAAAACTCTCTCAGATGGTGCCGATGAGGCCTGCACACACAGGTATGTGTTTGAAAGTGCAGACAATATGGGAAGACTGTCCCGCTTCCCCCACCACCAAGCTACAGGCTCTTGTCCTGATGAGACCTTTGTAGATCTCAATCTCTTTATGGGCCTGTTCAGCTATGGAGATGGCACCACTTTTAAAGGTTGTTGCCTGAAGTAACTCTCGGTCCTCATCCTCAAACAGCTCTTCTAGGGCTGACTTCTTGGCACACTTCTCGTGACATGGAGACTGAAAAAAAAGTAGTGTTTAGACAAACTTGCTTCAAAAATATATTCATTTAAAATAGTATATTCCAATATTACTTACATGTTCCTCTGCCTTCAGTGACTTGTCCTCCTGATGGTCATCCAATCTATCTTCCTCAATGTTGTGATCCTGAAGGACCTCCATTGGAAGCTGCAGAAATAATGTTGCACATATAAACAGCAATACTTTGTTGTAGAAACTGTAACATGGCACACATGGGAAATAAGACTGAGCATAAAATACCTGTTCTGTTACATTGCAAACTGCTGCTTTCTCCAACCGGCCACAAGCAGCATCAGCAGCAACAGCACATCCAAGTTTGCCTTTGAAGCGAGGGTTCATCAAAGTGGCCTCCTGGAGGAAGTTCTTAATGTCTTCATCCTATAATAAAACATGACAAACTATTTAGTGTCTAACAGTTAAAATTGTGATTTGCCTTCCTTCTTTTTTTAAGCATAAGCTCTTAATGAAAATGGAAAATACCTGATATCGTTTCTCCAGATCTTCCCAGACTTTCTCTTTCAAAGCACTGATAAAAACAGTGTCCTGTTCAGCCACCGTGAAATGCTCCTCCAGCTTAGTCAGTATGGGGAGAATTTGGCCACATGTGGGTGACTTCTCACTGGATACACAGAGGGTTGAGGTGTACAACAGCTTCATGATTTTAACAAAATCCTCTGCTTTCTGGAAGTCGTCATCTGTGAGTCTTTCCAGTCTGGGACAAAAAAGAAAATATGAAGATAAGAATAAAAACCAACTATTGCTACTCATTGTTTCACAAGTGATCTTTTTGTCTATTACTTGTCTTTCTCCATTGCCTTCCTGAGTCGTTGGTCAAGTGATGCTGCCTGGATGGCCTGGTACTACTCCACCATCAAGAAAAGAGAGTTCCACCATGTTCTGACATCCAGAATCATGTTATGTTGTGGCAGATCTGAAACACAAATGCAAATTTTGAATTACAATCTACTGAAGAAGATGTTTGAAACAAACATAACTTTCTGAGATATATAATGACTACGCTATTTAATGTAGCTAGCTAAGCTAACGGTAGACCACCTGCTGCCTTCAGAGCAAGTGTAGTTGCTGCATTCACGTGCTTCTCGGATGGTCTCATTTCCCCACATTTAACTCGAAATGTGAAAACAAAATGGACAGTAACATTACTACAAAGATGTCTTGGATTTGTATCATCAAAGCTTTCAGACGTTCACGTATGCAGGAATAAGAGTGTTGGACAGATCATCCCTGGATGGGGGTCGGTAGTGAGGATTAAGGGCAGCAGTCATTTCCCTATTAAGGATTAACATATTTTTTTTGTTATTAATATATATTTTTTGACAAATTTAATAACGCATCAATTAAAGAAAATATTTCTCCTTTAACATATTTAACAATTTTTTCACATTTTTTTTTTTTTTTTACCTGAACCATTGGGATTCCACAGTGGAAAAGGAATGCAGTCCCTTGACCACAAATTTGGTCACAGCCCTGTGGAGTTCCTCCACCTTCTCCTTTTTTTCAAAGTAGCCTTCTTTGTCATGGTAAATGGGGTCACTGCTGTAGTACTACTAGCTGGAGAGCCAAAATTATAAACATAATCCATGTTACATTAATATTTTACAAATCGTTTGATCATTTGTTAGCATGAATGCAAGATTTGCATTTTGCAATTAACATTACATTAGCCTACTACTAACCTGCGGAAGGGCTGCTGTCGTCATCATAATCGGTTGACTCTTTTTTGCTAGGGTTGGTATGACTGGGGCTGGGGTCGTCCACACTGATAGTGCCAGCTGATGTCCGCAAGCTGTCAAACACGGTGCATCCCTCTGCTTTCAAGTTTATTCCGTGTGCCCTCAAATGTTTTATTAGGTTTGACGTGTTTCCCCCTTTACACGCAACTGTTGTAAAACATTTGCTGCACGTCGCGGTGTCGGAATCCTTTCTTGTGAAATATAGCCACACTTTAGAGCGTTTAGTTTTAGGCATTTTAATTTAAGTGGGTTTAATGTAGCTAGCTAAGCAAACGGTAGACCACCTGCTGCCGTCAGAGCAAGTGTAGTTGCTGCATTCACGCGCTTCTCGGATGGTCTCATTTCCCCACATTTAACTCGAAATGTGAAAACAAAATGGACAGTAACATTACTACAAAGATGTCTTGGATTTGTATCATCAAAGCTTTCCGACGTTCACGTGAGTTTTCTCATTCAGGATATAATTTTTCCGATCATTCTGACACCCCATGAATGCAGTATTTAAATTTAACTAGAATTTAATAATTCGTGTTGATGAATCTGATGCTTCTTACGTCCATTTCATAGCACCAGAGGACAAATATTTCAATCGACAGTTCAGGCATTTAAGTGGCACCGAAATGAGGCACCGAAAGGAGGCACCGAAATTCGCGTTCTGATTCGGTCCGGTACATACCGGTCATATAGGTCAGGCTTCGGTACCCAACCCTAGTTTCTGCTACGGAATAAAAAAAAATTAAAATATAATTGCGACTTTTTATGTATATCAATTCTTACTTTTTTTCTCAGAATTGCGAGTTTATATCTCACAGTTCAGACTTTTTTTCCCCTCAATTCTTACTTTTTTCTCAGAATTGACACAAACTCACAATTGACCCTTCACAAAGACCCGCCCCCCTTAGTTACTGTTGCTACGCTGCGCTCTCACGCCACACATCATGTTCTCACACAGTAAAAAAACACTTGACGACACGCCGACAGACAAGACAGAGCATGTTACTTTTGGAATGAAACAAAGTTTCAGCTTTCAAATTTTGTCTTTTTTTTTTTTTTAAGAAATTCAAACAATAAATATGTCGTGACAGATCGCTGTAGCGCACGTGAAGTGATCATCTCTTCCTCTTTACTAGTTATTATAGCACAAAATAAACATGAATGATCATCAGAAGGTTTCTTGTTTCAACCGCAGAAAGACGTCAATACACACCGTTTTTCAAGTTCAAGTCTACCGACGGTCATCCACTCTGGTCTGGTTTATTTGTCAGACAAAATGCCAGATTCGCCGTTATGATTGCTCATATCACCTGTCAGTCAAACTCCTGCTGAAAGCTTACAATTCTGACATTTTCTTAAACCTGCGAGTTGCAATTACGTGTTAGAATTGCGAGATATAAACGTTTATATCTTGCAATTCTGACTTTACAACTCACAAATGTGAGTTTACATCATGCAATTCTGAGAAAAAAAGATGTAAACTCACAATTGCAAGAAAAAAGTCACCATTACCTTTTTATTTTTTATTCAGTGGCAGAAACGGGCTTCCATAAATCACGCTCTCATGCTCTCTATTCTGTTTCTTTTCCTCCTTTCTCTCCCTCAGTTATCCTGATCTTCCTCTCATGTTGTGATTTACTAACAGATCACCTTCTCTTTGCTCTATCGCTGTCGTTTTCACTTTATCTGCCTCTGTTGCCCTTCATTCGCCCGCACGCTCACTCCTGCGCTCTTGTTCATTGATAACAGACAGTGTAGATGAGCTCAAAGCGTTTGCACTGGTGCAGCACGGCTGTTCTTACGTAACGCCGCTCTGCAGAGAATCTCGTCTCTGCTCTCCACTACGTGACATGCCTTTAATAGCGCCGATGTTCAGAAGCGGAAAATGTACTGCATACTGCACATTTATACTCTGTATACTGCCTGCTGTTTTTAAAAATAGTATGTGAAACATTATGCAGTAAGAACAGCAGTATGCAACAGCCTCAGCTAATAATTATGGCTGTTTTGTGTTTTTAATAAAGATTAAAATTACATTTTATTTTTTATTGCTTTCAGATCATTTGGAGGTTGAGCAAATTGCAATTATAATTACTCTCTTGAATTGAATTTTCCTACCAGAGAAGTAGTTTTAAGGCAAGGCACTACAGCCAAAAACATTGTGTTTCAAGCATGGGTCAATTTTCAGATTTTAGGCTAATTTGCTTCCATAACATGTCTTCTTTCATACTAGTGGAAAAAAAACATGCAAAATACACATTTAAGTGTCTATTTTATTGCATTTGATCTATTTTTGTCTGTAGATTTCAATTCCAATACATATCTTTAAAGGTGGTGAGTTTTTTCTCCATTTCAGCAGCGCTTACTTACACCAAAACTGTTTTATTCTGAAGGATTTTACTGAAGGGTTTGTTTATATATCATTCGCCTGATTTATAACATTTTTATTCCTTAAAACATGATGAAAAGGTATTTTTTTCTGGCTGTTGACAGTATCTTCTGATTTATGGAATGATAAAAAGAGAACTCCAAAATATCCAAAACCTTTAATATTTCGACAAAATCAAACAAGAATTTTGAACCTGGCTTCATCCAATGTTCAGATTTCTGTTCTGGAAATGTATGCAAATTAGTGCATATTTAATTGGATAATGTCTCATTGGCATATTTAAACATAACATTTCAGATAACTTGTATATCCAAAATAATCGATATTGAATCGAATCGAATCAAATTGGTAATCGAATCGCAAGCTTGTGAATGAGAATCGAATCGAATCGTCAAAACCCAGCCCTGATGCAAATTAGTGCATATTTAATTAGATAATGCATCATTAGCATATTTAAACATAACATTTCAGAACACTTGTAATACAAGATAATTGTCAAAATGCACTGTTATTAATCAACTGGGAAAAGCCTGATGATATAAATTAGTAAAAAAAATTTGTAGTTTATTGTATTTAAAGTGATTGAATTAGCAGCGCTATGATATAATGTTTATATAAATTATTTTTTATAGCTTAGAATTTATATATTATATGTTTATATAAGCATTGTATGGCTTTGTATATTATTATATATATATATATATCATCTGTGGTGAAGAAATTCTTGTTTCTCTTTGAAAGACATCAGTTTCAGCTTTCAGTATTTTAATTGTTTGTACATGTGACTCACATAACACTTCTAAAGCCTGAGAAATGTGGCATATAAAATTAGAAATATCCAAAATGTCTGCATTTTTATTGCTTAAATACACATTTGACCACATGAGTAATAATATTTGAAAGCACACAGAACTAGTGTTGCACTGTCTTTACTCCTCTCTTGGTTTTCTTTCTAACAATGTGTCCTGCTGTTTTATAAATTAGATACGTGTTATATTTCTCCTGGGCATGTTTTGTTTCCTATTTGTTTCCATTTTGCAGTGATGTAATTACGTAAAGCAGTTTAGTCTGTAAAATCCTCTCCGTGTGGTGCGAACAATCAGATGCAAATGTCTCTCGATAAACATCGAATCTTGATTCCAGACGAGCTTCTACCCACGCAGCTTTCCCCTTCACACCAGGCTTGATGTTGATCACAATAAAAGCTTTTAACTTTCCTCTGCAGAACATCTTACTGTCTTTATGCAAGTACAAGTAGCCTTTTTCGTTCATCCTTTGTTCATTTTCGTTTCCCATTTACAGGTTCATTCAGCGGTTTACTCTGCGGTCCGTTGCCACCTGCATTTATCTTCATCTAAAGGTTGCTCTGTCTTTTCATTCTCTTTCTTTTTGTGTCCAGTGAGATAAATCGGCTGGATCTGGGCCTGACGGTGGAGGTGTGGAATAAAGGACTGATCTGGGACACCATGGTCGGCTACGTTTGGATCCCACTGCGGAGTATCCGCCAATCAAACGAGGTCGGTGCTGCACAATTGGGTTTGCATGATACGGCTGATATGAGCGCCGTTCATAATACCAGTTTCAATATGACAGCAAAAACGGAATGCTGTTTAATTAAAAAGTTAAATATCAAGCTTTAATTGAAAGATTAGTATAATTGGGGATCTAATAGAGACTTTTACTTAAGGCCGGATTCACGAAAATCTTCTTAAGAAATGTCATAAGATAAATTTCATGAAGTTTGAAGAATGTTTCTAAGTGAAATTCTTGAAAAATTCTCACTTTTTTTTTTTATGTGATTTTTTGTTTATTATTAAGAAGACAATCAGGCTTTTATGGAAGCTTGTTTCTGCCATGTAATGAAAAATAAAGGTAATTGTCATTGATTATCTCACAGTTCAGGCTTTTTTTAAATAAAAAAAAAATAATAATAATTGCAACTTTTTATCTCACAATTCAGTTTTTTTTTTACACTTTTGCAAGTGTATATTTTGCAATTCTGATTTTTCTTCTCAATAATTGGGAAAATGTGAGATATAAATCAGAATTCGCAATTAACTAAAGTCTCAATTAACTTTTACTTTTTTTTTATTCTGTAAAAAAACTGAATTGCGAGATGTAAACAGAATTTTGGGAGAAAAAAAATCAGAATTGAGAGATATTATCTCACAATCGTGAGAAAAGTCATAATGCTGCATAATAATCATAAAAAGCGTGCATATTATTTTTGCTGTTTTTTAATGCACCATGTACTTTAAATAGTTATTTTTGAAGAGTCTGTCTTAAGATGCACTCATTTACGCGCTCATGCGCCAACTGTCTTGTACTGAATGTACAAGTAATAATGTATATGTACTGAATGCTGCTGAAAATTATGTCGTAATTATAGGCTAAAATTAAAAACGAGGTCCCTATTTGACTCCGTTTTGAATTTCAAATTCGGCATAAAGTCACGTCATGCATAAAAGTAGTTATGCATGTTGTAATGCTTGCAACAATTAATTTGAAACAACCCAATAAATCCATTAAACATCTAACCTTTGGGGATTTAAGACAAGTTGAAGGTTATTCTAATTTTAAGAGGTTATTTATGATGATTTTTAAGAAGACTCTTTTCAAGAATTTGAATTCTTCTTAAGTTTTGTGTTACGAACAATCTTAAGAAAAAAAATTTTGAACATTCATAAGTATTTTTGGGAATACTAAATATTTGTTTTTCTTAAGTAAGAAAATAGAAGTTAAAAATAATTTTATTCTTCACCAGCTTTTCACTGTTTCATTTGAGAAAAACTACCATCAAATACACACTGACACTAAAACTGAAAGACCTTCACGACAAACCATCAAAATAAAAGTTCGGTTTAACTTGAAGAAATTATGACAGAAACATATTATTAATGTAATTCTCAAAGTAATAATAACAATATTATTATTCTTAAGGAATATCATACAAACAAGGTGTTTTTCATTAATTTATACAGTTCTGTACATCTTGTTTGAAAAAATAAAAATTCAGTGTTTTGTTATTAATTATGTTTTCATTTGAATACATTTTAAAAGATTGATTAAACTGTTAAAGTTTTATTAATTCATTTCATGAATAAATTAGTACTGAATCATAAAACACAGAATCCAGAAAAAATAAAATAGAAAACAGAATTTAGGGGAAAATAAAATTGATTTTTATGGGGCCCTAAATTAAAAGGGAGTTACGGAAAACATTGAATATCGTGATAAATATTGATATTGTATGATATGGGAAAAAATGTTGTTTTGAACATTCATAAGTATTTTTGGGAATACTAAATATTTGTTTTTCTTAAGTAAGAAAATAGAAGTTAAAAATAATTTTATTCTTCACCAGCTTTTCACTGTTTCATTTGAGAAAAACTACCATCAAATACACACTGACACTAAAACTGAAAGACCTTCACGACAAACCATCAAAATAAAAGTTCGGTTTAACTTGAAGAAATTATGACAGAAACATATTATTAATGTAATTCTCAAAGTAATAATAACAATATTATTATTCTTAAGGAATATCATACAAACAAGGTGTTTTTCATTAATTTATACAGTTCTGTACATCTTGTTTGAAAAAATAAAAATTCAGTGTTTTGTTATTAATTATGTTTTCATTTGAATACATTTTAAAAGATTGATTAAATTGTTAAAGTTTTATTAATTCATTTCATGAATAAATTAGTACTGAATCATAAAACACAGAATCCAGAAAAAATAAAATAGAAAACAGAATTTAGGGGAAAATAAAATTGATTTTTATGGGGCCCTAAATTAAAAGGGAGTTACGGAAAACATTGAATATCGTGATAAATATTGATATTGTATGATATGGGAAAAAATGTTGTGATAATATTTTTAGCCATGTCGGCCAGTCCTAGTCCTAGTCCAAGCATAAATTCACTTAATTTTGATGCATTTCTCATAAAACAAGATTTATCTTAAGTAATTTTGCTTCTCAACTAAATTTATGTTGATTTAAGAATGTTTAGATATTTGTCCTGGAAAACAAGACAAAAATATCAAGTAATTAAATAATGTTTTGCAGTGTGTATTATTAATGTAATTCTCAAAGTAATAATAACAATATTATTATTCTTAAGGAATATCATACAAACAAGGTGTTTTTCATTAATTTATACAGTTCTGTACATCTTGTTTGAAAAAATAAAAATTCAGTGTTTTGTTGTAAATTAATTATGTTTTCATTTGAATACATTTTAAAAGATTGATTAAACTGTTAAAGTTTTATTAATTCATTTCATGAATAAATTAGTACTGAATCATAAAACACAGAATCCAGAAAAAATAAAATAGAAAACAGAATTTAGGGGAAAATAAAATTGATTTTTATGGGGCCCTAAATTAAAAGGGAGTTACGGAAAACATTGAATATCGTGATAAATATTGATATTGTATGATATGGGAAAAAATGTTGTGATAATATTTTTAGCCATGTCGGCCAGTCCTAGTCCTAGTCCAAGCATAAATTCACTTAATTTTGATGCATTTCTCATAAAACAAGATTTATCTTAAGTAATTTTGCTTCTCAACTAAATTTATGTTGATTTAAGAATGTTTAGATATTTGTCCTGGAAAACAAGACAAAAATATCAAGTAATTAAATAATGTTTTGCAGTGTGATGGCAAGATGCCAAATTTTAATATCTAAAATGTTATGAGCTATGAAAGAGCAACATAAGAGCAGTACAGTTGTTCTCTGTGGTGAGATCAGACTTTAAATGAAATGTAACACTGGATGACAGGGTGTGATGTGGGAGAAGGGAAGTGAAGGTCACGTTTTTGATTAGATCTGGTTCAGACACGGGATGCGCTGCTGGATTTACGGCCGTGATGCACCTCAGACCTCCTCATGTGCGCCTGTGCCCTTTCTGTCCTGTTATGTAAGCCAGTGCTTGCTTTATTTAAAGACGGCGGTTTTATTGAGCTGCCTTCCATTTGCTGCTTTTATGTCCCGTTTTATAAATGACCCCGAGTTTTCCCTCAAGCTTTCATAACGTAACATGAATAATATATCATCCGCTGTCAATAATGAATGAGTTTTTTCTTCTCTCGGTCGCTGATGTTCTGGTGTTTGTGTGATTTATGTGATTTGAAGCCGTCGAGGGTTAAAAAAAAACTATGTAGACATGCATAAAAAACAAAAACTACTAAAAATGACAAAAAATGGCAAACTTTAAATAAATAAAAATGAAAAATAGAAAATATAAAAATAAATCTGATTCAAATTAATAATTAATATAATGCACCTCAGACCTCCTCATGTGCGCCTGTGCCCTTTCTGTCCTGTTACGTAAGCCAGTGCTTGCTTTATTTAAAGACGGCGGTTTTATTGAGCTGCCTTCCATTTGCTGCTTTTATGTCCCGTTTTATAAATGACCCCGAGTTTTCCCTCAAGCTTTCATAACGTAACATGAATAATATATCATCCGCTGTCAATAATGAATGAGTTTTTTCTTCTCTCGGTCGCTGATGTTCTGGTGTTTGTGTGATTTATGTGATTTGAAGCCGTCGAGGGTTAAAAAAAAACTATGTAGACATGCATAAAAAACAAAAACTACTAAAAATGACAAAAAATGGCAAACTTTAAATAAATAAAAATGAAAAATAGAAAATATAAAAATAAATCTGATTCAAATGAATAATTAATATAATTTTGAACTACTAAAAATGACAAAAAATGGCAAACTTTAAATAAATAAAAATGAAAAATAGAAAATATAAAAATAAATCTGATTCAAATTAATAATTAATATAATTTTAATTAATACAATTAATAAAAAACATAATATTATCTAAATGATACTCAAGTAACACTGCTCTGGATGGAAATCACTATTAAAGATTTTTCTTTTATTATTATTATTATTTTTTTAATTTTTTTTTTGCAAATATTAATTTTAAATTTTTTTTTTGCAAATATTAATATTAACATCATTGATCTTTACAATATTAACATATTGATCTATACAAAACCTTGAGTCACCAACTGTTGCTTTAAATGCTTCATAAAAAATGCTGACTTGAATAAAAATAATCAAAAATAGTAACATTATTTTTATAATTTTATAAGATATTTCTATAATAATATTTTAAAATATAAGAGAATAAAAGTATATAACTATATACAATATAATATATATATAATGTAATATACAATATATAGTAAAATAAAATTATTTGTTTAATTACTGAACATTATAAAAGAATATACAATATATACAATGTATATATTATGCAATATGCTATTTATATTATACATACAATCTTTATATATATTATAAATGTAATATAAATATTAGCCTATAATTTTAAAGTATTTGTATTTGATGACAAAATGATATGCATGATGAGTCTGTAGGTGTGTCCCAATTCACATTCTTATGCACTATTCAATGCTGTTTTGTAGTAAGAATAAGAAGTGCACTTCTTATTTACTTATTTAACCAAAAAATGAATTGTGAGATGTTGGACACTTCATGCACTGAACGTCTCAGCTTTAATTACATGCTGGAATGACTGTGACGATGATGGACGACAAACTAGCCGACTAAATGTCACTATGTCAGACATAGTGCCTACTTTAAGTGCATATAGTATGTCATTTGGGACACAATGTACAGTATGACTCAGTTGATTGTGTAGATGTGTAAATACAGTTCTGTGTGTGTCTGTGTCTCTGTGTCTGTGTCTGTGTGTGTGTGTGTGTGTCTGTCTGCGTGTGTCTGTGTCTGTCTGTGTCTGTGTCTGTGTCTGTGTCTGTGTCTGTGTCTGTGTCTGTGTCTGTGTCTGTGTCTGTGTCTGTGTCTGTGTCTGTGTCTGTGTCTGTGTCTGTGTCTGTGTCTGTGTCTGTGTCTGTGTCTGTGTCTGTGTCTGTGTCTGTGTCTGTGTCTGTGTCTGTGTCTGTGTCTGTGTCTGTGTCTGTGTCTGTGTCTGTGTCTGTGTCTGTGTCTGTGTCTGTGTCTGTGTCTGTGTCTGTGTCTGTGTCTGTGTCTGTGTCTGTGTCTGTGTCTGTGTCTGTGTCTGTGTCTGTGTCTGTGTCTGTGTCTGTGTCTGTGTCTGTGTCTGTGTCTGTGTGTGTGTCTGCGTGTGTCTGTGTCTGTCTGTGTGTGATTGTCTGTGTCTGTGTCTGTGTCTGTGTTTGTGCGTGTGTGTTTCAGGAAGGACCAGGCGAGTGGCTGACTCTAGATTCTCAGGTCATAATGGCGGATAATGAAATCTGTGGGACCAAAGATCCAACATTTCACCGTTTGCTTCTGGACACGCGCTTCGAACTGCCGCTGGGTGAGATTATACTCATCACAGCTAATAATATAAGATAATCACAGCTACAGCCACAAAAACACAGCATCTCTACAGACCTCGTGAAAGAACTGGGGTTGTGTGACTTTTACTGAATGTCTGTTACCTTTCAGCTCATCTATATGATAGTGTAATCCTAAAATAAACATATATATATGTGTGTGTGTGTGTGTGTGTATATATATTTAGATATTTTTTATGTTTTTGAAATGTATCTTCTGCTCATCAAGGCTACATTTATTTGATCAAAAATACAGTAAAAACAATGAAATATTATTACAATTTAAAACAGCTGTTTTCCATGTGAATATCTGTTAAAATGTAATTTATTTCTGTGATCAAAGCTGTATTTTCAGCATCATTACTCCAGTCTTCAGTGTCACATGATCTTCAGAAATCATTCTAATATGCTGATTTGCTGCTCAAGAAACATTTCTGATTATTATCAATGTTGAAAACAGTTGTGCTGCACAATATTTTGTGGAAACTGTGATACATTTTATTTTTCAAAGTTCAAAAGAACAGCATTTATTTGAAATAGAAATATTTTGTAACATCATAAATGTCACTTTCGAACAATTGAATGCATCCTTGATGAATAAAACTATTAATTAAAAAAATCTTACTGACAGTAAACTTAAATGGGTATATGGACCAAAACAGTGGAATGAATATCACCAGTCACACACATAGACAACAGCAAGTAGCAATGTTTTGAAGGGTTGTGATGTAAATGAAAGTAAAATAATATTAATTAAATAAAATTATGTCCCAACTTATGGTTTTAAAGGGGTCATATGATGCGATTTCACTTTTTCCTTTCTCTTTGGAGTGTTACAAGCTCTTGGTGCATAAAGAAGATCTGTAAAGTTGCAAAGACTAAAGTCTCAAATCCAAAGAGATATTCTTTATAAAAGTTAAGAGTCAGCCACGCCTACCTAAAATGGCTCGTTCTAACACGCCCCCACATATCTACGTCACGATGTGGGAAGATTTGCATAACACCGCCCAAATGTTCACGCAAAGAAAGAAGGTGTAACTTTTATTCTCGCTGTAGTATTGTTGTTGCCGCCGCCGCAATGTCGTGAAGACGCCATGTGTTTCGTTGTGAAAGCGAAACTACTTTGTTTGATCTTCCAAAGGGTCTGTGCTCAAAGGCTGTTCTATAACTTTGGGCAGTTCCAACTTTGCAAGGTCTGGCGCTTCTGACTCACAGCCTGTAAGTAAATTTTTTATATTACTCTGAAGAGTCTCTGCTGGAGTCTTTTCCATTACATAGTCCATAGATATGACATCTAAGATATGACATCAGGCTAAGACGCCTCTTCTCTCTGTGTGTGTGTGTGTGTGTTTCTCCCATAGACATCCCAGAAGAAGAGGCTCGATACTGGGCCAAAAAACTGGAGCAGCTCAACGCCATGCGAGACCAGGACGTGAGTCTGTCGTCTCTCTGTGCTGTAGTTTCTCCAAAAACACAAAGACTTAAAATTGGCTTATAAGATTCACTGTGACATTTCACTTTTCAAAACAATAGCATCTGCAAAGTAAGCTGATGTATTCACAATCGCAAATTAAACACAAACTTGTGAGATGCCATGTTGTCATACATAGTAGTGCTGGGCAATATTGCAAAAAAAATGAAAATCTCAATATTTTTTCAGATGTTGGCGATATTTAATATTTTTGCATTTTCTCTCTCAAAAAAAGAAATAATAGAAAAAAATTTTTTTTTTGCCCCCTACGTATTTGAAATTGTTTACTGCAAATCAGCACAGTTTAAAAAAAAAGACTAATTTAGACATAGTGACTACTTATTGCTTTTTTTTAACTAAATGAAAACTATATAACATTTAGAATCATATTTACTTAAAGGTACGACCGTACCAGTATAAAAATACAATTATACTATATTAGAAGTGCAATCTTTCTTACAAAAAGTTGTGTTTTTTGTAACAACAAAGCAAGTTCTTTGAAGAACAAAGAAACACATTACATAGAAAAAGTGGCCGGCCTGTTTCATGGATCCTGAGTGTCTTAAAAAGTCTTAATTGGTCTTAATTTCACAAATTAAGGCCTTAAAAAGGTCTTAAATCAGAGACAGAAATTCTTAAATTCATAAAGTCATGGCATTAAATGTTGCATGCACTGCAAAAATGAATATCTTAATCTGTATTTTTGTTTTCTTCCAAATACAAATATCTAAACATCCTTAAATCAAGGTACATTTGCTTGAGTCTTGTTTTCTGATAAACTAAACCAAATCAAGTGCTTTTAAGTGCTTAAAACAAGAACAAATATTTCGATCAAGTTTGATCGATATCATAATCTCTCATAAAGAGTTTGCATTGCCTTTAGAAGTTTAATCTGCCAGTATTGCATTAATGTAACAGGTTTCATATGAGGCTAATGATTCATTTGTGTGTGATTTGTGTTGCAGTATTCATATCAGGAGGTTCAGGAGAGGCCGCTGTCTGTACCGGGAACACAGTGCTGTGAGTGTGATGCTCTACATGCATCAATTAAAGCCTAAATCATCATGAGATTAGCCAAAATATTTAATTTCCCATTCTTTCACATGTTAAATCCGCCTACAGCCTGTCAATGGATAATTCAGCTATTCTCTTTCAGATATTCAAGCAAATCTTATTAAATGCTGGAAAAATTTCAAGCTATTCTAATGATTTGCAAATCATTAAAGTAAACATATCTTGACCGTATAAGCTAGCCATTGTGTCTGATGGTCATTTTTGAGAGCATTAGATCAGATCAGATTCAGATTTCACACATGAATCAGATCATCTTCACAGTTCTGAGCATCTAAAGCACTAAGTGCTGTAGCGGTTCGGTCCTTCCCGTATGTGTGTCACCGTTAATGTGATTTATGAGTAAGTCTAGCAGAAAGCTGAATGAGCAGCCTCGTGCATGAATGAAGCTCTGACTTACTGTGACTTACGCTCTTATTTCACAAACACACACACACACACACGCACACACACACACACACACACACACACACACTCTGCTGACACAGCTCCCAGGGGGGCGGGGCTAGACAGTGGGACCTTCTGACTGGCTGAGACATGCAGCTGGGAATCATCTCTGGATGGCAGCCAGTAGCACATCACCTTAATCACAGAACACTGAGTCATCAAACCCATACTTTACTCTGCTGCAGGAAGAGACGCAGACAGAGTCAGTGACTTAAGTGAACAATGCTGTCATACTGAAAGATTAGATAGCCTGATAGCCTGGGTCACATGTTCACCAAGGCTGCATTTATTTGATCAAAATACAGTAAAATTGTGAAATATTATTACAATTCAAAATAACTGTTCTCTATGTGAATATCTGTTAAACTGTAATTTATTCCTGTGATCAAAGCTGAATTTTCAGCATCATTACTCCAGTCTTCAGTGTCACATGATCTTCAGAAATCATTCTAATATGCTGATTTGCTGCTCAAGAAACATTTCTGATTATTATCAATGTTGAAAACAGTTGTGCTGCCCAATATTTTTGTGGAAACTGTGATACATTTTATTTTTCAGGATTCACAGATGAATAGAAAGTTCAAAAGAACAGCATTTATTTGAAATATAAATCTTTTGTAATATTATAAATCAATTTAATGCATCCTTGCTAAATAAAAGTATTTTAGTGATTTTTGACACCCAAAATACTGTAAATTAGTTTTTATGCCTTGCAAACCTTTATTATGCTTTATAACAATGCATCAAGCATTGTAAAATCTGCTAATTTAAGTTAAAGATGTCTAGCTGGCTAACATAGATGAGGTTTTGTCACAGTTGCATGACCTAGTTTGGTGTGTTTATTTGTGTTTTGTTTTCTTTGCTTCTGTTTCTGTTACTAAAGATGTTCCTGTATGATCTTATATGGCCAAAAAAAATAAATGTAAATATGTTTAAAAATATATTTAAAAAAAAGAAATATGAAATAATACTCAAATGGAAAATATTTTCTGTTTAAACCTTTAAAAGGCGAAATATATTACAAAATGTACTTTTAAAAAATCCAATCTTAAAATACATTTTGGGTAATATTATTATTAGGGATGCACCGATACCACTTTTTTCAGTACTCGCCCGATACCGATACTTTTATTAAGACTTTACCATGCAAAAGTTACTGAGAGACTTTTAGCATGCTAAAATATGTTGTTAAATTATTTTTTAAATATTTATTTTAGCACACATTCAGATATTTTGGATTTTTTTTATTTTATATGCCATATTTCTCAGGCTTTACAAGTGTTGTGTGTCACTTGTGCAAGAAATTCAAATACTGAAAGCTGTCTAGAATTTCTTCACCACAGGTATTATGTCATAATAACTTTAATTAAAATCCATCACTCACGGTGAATACAGTAAACATGTTAATAATAGATAATCGCCATACTTAAATTTTGTTTAATCATAGTGCATTAGGACTGTTTTGTATTACAAGTTTAAATATGTAAACTAGGCTTTATCTAATTAGTCATGCACTCATTTGCATATTTCCAGAATGGAAATCTGAACACTGGATAAAGCCAGGTTCAAAATGATTAGAGTTAAAGGTTTTTACAGAGGTGAGTTTTTTTTTTTACAGAGGTTTTTTTTATCACTCCATAAATCAGAAAATACTGTAAAAATCCAGAATAAAAAATAGTGTTTGTAAGTGCTGCTGAAGGGAAGAGAAAAAAATCATTTGGAGAAATGGCCTTTAAATATATGTATTGAAATTTACATATGCAAATAGATAAAGTGCAATAAAATACTTAAAAGTGTACTAGTCAGCAAAATAGCTCATCACACTTCTCGAATAACACCAGGTCATGACAGATGTGTTTGTGTGTGGTGTAGTTTCACAAATGCAGATGTGTCTTTGATTTGCGTGTGTAGACATTGATCCAGACAGCGCGATGGATGACCGAGACAGTGATTACCGCAGTGAGACCAGTAACAGTATCCCACCGCCGTACTACACCACATCTCAACCCAACGCCTCGGTCCACCAGTATCCCATGAGCCACCAGCACCGCAGTCCTCACGCCTCATACTCACACACCAACAACTGCGACCTGGACTACGATCATCAGAGAGGCATCAGGTGAGAGAGAAACAGAGCGAGTAATACTTTAATACTTAGTATTTATATATACTGTATATATATATTATTATTTTTTCTTTCTGTTACTAAGATATTCCTGTATGATTCCATATGCCTCAAAAAAAGTTAAATATGTAAAAACATTCAGATATTTTGGATTTTTTTTATTTTATATGCCATATTTCTCAGGCTTTACAAGTGTTGTGTGTCACTTGTGCAAGAAATTCAAATACTGAAAGCTGTCTAGAATTTCTTCACCACAGGTATTATGTCATAATAACTTTAATTAAAATCCATCACTACAGGTGAATACAGTAAACATGTTAATAATAGATAATCGCCATACTTAAATTTTGTTTAATCATAGTGCATTAGGACTGTTTTGTATTACAAGTTTAAATATGTAAACTAGGCTTTATCTAATTAGTCATGCACTCATTTGCATATTTCCAGAATGGAAATCTGAACACTGGATAAAGCCAGGTTCAAAATTATTAGAGTTAAAGGTTTTTACAGAGGTGAGTTTTTTTTTTTACAGAGGTTTTTTTTATCACTCCATAAATCAGAAAATACTGTAAAAATCCAGAATAAAAAATAGTGTTTGTAAGTGCTGCTGAAGGGAAGAGAAAAAAATCATTTGGAGAAATGGCCTTTAAATATATGTATTGAAATTTACATATGCAAATAGATAAAGTGCAATAAAATACTTAAAAGTGTACTAGTCAGCAAAATAGCTCATCACACTTCTCGAATAACACCAGGTCATGACAGATGTGTTTGTGTGTGGTGTAGTTTCACAAATGCAGATGTGTCTTTGATTTGCGTGTGTAGACATTGATCCAGACAGCGCGATGGATGACCGAGACAGTGATTACCGCAGTGAGACCAGTAACAGTATCCCACCGCCGTACTACACCACATCTCAACCCAACGCCTCGGTCCACCAGTATCCCATGAGCCACCAGCACCGCAGTCCTCACGCCTCATACTCACACACCAACAACTGCGACCTGGACTACGATCATCAGAGAGGCATCAGGTGAGAGAGAAACAGAGCGAGTAATACTTTAATACTTAGTATTTATATATACTGTATATATATATTATTATTTTTTCTTTCTGTTACTAAGATATTCCTGTATGATTCCATATGCCTCAAAAAAAGTTAAATATGTAAAATAAATAAATAAATATATATATATATATATATATACAGTATATACAGTGGATTTACTCACTCAACGAGCGTTTCACGCTTGATAAACAAACACACTCGTGCTTTCTGTGCTGTGAAGGCTGACACAGTTACAGATATTCCACAAATAAACACATTAATCATCTGCCTTTTGTTGCACAAAACTATCTTGGTAGTAATTCTCTTAAAGTTTACTGCTGAAGGCAGTAGTTATTTCTATGCTTTGAAAATGGAAAATTTAAAGACTTTAGCATGCAAAAGTTACTGAGAGACTTTTAGCACGCTAAAATATGTTGTTAAATTATTTTTTAAATATTTATTTTAGCACACATTCAGATATTTTGGATTTATTTTATTTTATATTCCATATTTCTCAGGCTTTACAAGTGTTGTGTGTCACTTGTGCAAGAAAATATAAAATGTTTGAAATATATTTATTTTTAATTTAAATATATAAAATAATAATAATCAAATTTAAAATATGTTTTGTTTAAATCTTCAAATGACAAAATATATTACATTTACATTTATTCATTTGGCAGATGCTTTTATCCAAAGCAACTTACAGTTGAGGAATACAACAAGCGATTTATCATAAAATGGCAATAACAAAATGTACTTCAAGAGGCCAAAAAATTATTTGTACCACAATGTGTTATTTATTTATATATATATGTGTATATATATATGTATTTTGGAAAATATAGATATATTTAGATATAACTGACTAAAGCTTATGGGAAATATATTTATATATGTTTTTACATAAATATTTTACATAAATATATTTTCCATAAGGCCATCAGTCGCTTATATGTTTTTTTTTTGTATATATATTGTCAATCTAAATATATTTATATTTTACAAAATATATATATTTAAAAAAAACATTTTGGATTTACCTAAAATGTATTTTAAGATTGGACATTTTGTGAAAGTGTCTTGAAGTACATTTTGCAATATATTTTGGCAATTGGAGGTTTAAACAAAACATATTTTCAGTATTTCATTAAGCCACACTGTTTCCAACATATTTAGCATATATTTAAAATATATTTTGGCCAGATTGGTTTTCTGTTTGGTTAAACCGATTCGTTCAGTTCTACTGTCTCCTTTGTTTCTTTTCCATTTTTTAACAAATGTTTTCATTGATTTATAAAAATGCTTGACATCAGCGTGACTTGCTTAAAGGAACACTCCACTATTTTTGAAAATAGGCTCATTTTCCAACTCCCCTAGAGTTAAACAGTTGAGTTTTACTGTTTTCGAATCCTATATA